AAGCAGCTGAAAAAGACTCTATCCAAAAAAATAAGAGAACTCATTATGTTACCAAATAAAAGTCAAGAACTCTTCTATGGACCAGGAATAACCAATTTAAAGGAGGTATATGTGTGTTTATGTGTGCATGTGTAAGGATTAGGGACAGATCCTAATTACAAGCATAAAATAAACACAATAAAAATGTTTAAGACTTACATGAAGAAATCTTTACTTAAAGACATTTCATAAAGAAATTAAAATGCAAAATAAATAAATAAATAATAATAATTAATAAATAAATAAATAATGAAGATATTTCAGCCCTGCCAGTTTTGCTCAGTTAGAGTGTCAGCCCACTGACCAAAAGGTTGTGGGTTTGAATCCCAGTCCCGGGCAGAAGGCAACCAATCCATGTGACACATCAATGTCTCTCTCTCTTTTTCTTCCTCTCCCTCCCCTCCTCCCTCCCACCCTTTCTAAAAATCAATGGGGAAAATATCCTTGGGTGAGGATTAACAACAAAACAATAGATATTTAAGGAACACGGGGCTGGGTAGGAATATTAAAAATCACAAAGATGTGTAAGATGTATACATCCACCCAAGGTAATTATAAAGTCAATTAAATCCTAATAAAATCAAACCCTAACATAATTTTTTATAAATAGGTAAAATCACCTGAAGGAAAAATTAAATGTATAAGAATAAGCAAGACATTTATTTACAGTTTACATTTAAATGTATGGATTTAGCTTATAAAATGTGGCATTTCAAGACAGGGATATTTTATCTGACCAACAGATAGTATAGGGACAACAGAATAGCCATTTGGAAACAAAAAGTAAATTGGTTACTCATATCTTATATAATATAAAATGGATTCCAAATAGATGAAGGAGTAATACTTTCTTTTAATCCTTTATACACATTAAAGAAAAATATGGAAAAGTTTTATAATATTGGGGTGGAAAACATCTTTCAAGATAAGATATAAAACCAAGGTACCATGTGCAATTTGTGGAAAATAAATTATATGTCTATTAAAAAATATGACTGAGAAAAAAGGAATACCATAAAGAAAAAAATGGCAACTTTGTATAAATATCCTGAAAATGTAAAATGTCTATACGACAAAAAAAAAAAGTGTAAAGACAAGTAACAAATAGGAAGACAGCTGTGCATCATGTGTAGCAGCTAACAAATTAATGATCAGAAAAAACACATAGATCAAGACAGGAACCTACTGAAAACCAGGCGAAGGTATGGACAGGCCACGCACAGAACATTTCTGAACAGTCAATAAACACATGTGGAGATGTATAACCTCACTACTAATTCAATACAGCACTTTAAGTGAAATTGTATTGTATTGAATATAATTGAAATCAAGACAATAATAAGTATTATTTCCCATCACTGAGATAAATAATGGAAAAGATGAATAATATCCATTGTTAACGAAGCTTCAGGGGAACAGATACTATCACGCCATGACGGTCAGAGTGTAAGTCTGTTACATCTCTCAGAGAGCATCCGGCACTCTTATGAAAGATTTGCCTATGGAGAGCCTTAGACTGAGCAAGCCTCTCCCCAGCAGAAACACCTGAAAACATGTAGTAGGATGCTCCCTGAAGCACTGCTGTGTTAATGAAATATTGGAAGTTCCCCACGTTTTTATCCCTGGGGAATGAGGCATGTAGTGTGGTGTTATCCGCCATGTGACCTCATTTACACGAAAGCACATACACTGTCAGCACTGGGTGTGGAGCTGCTGACCTGTGCGTGTGTGTGGGCATGAAGGCCAGCAGGAGAGGGCCCGCAGGGGCCACACCACATGGCTGACTGCGATCGCCGCCAGGCGTCAGGGTGCGAGGAGGGGAAGACAGACTCTAACAACTTGGTTTTGACATTGTTTGACTCTTTTATAGGTATTTTTACATCATCTCTCTGCCCCGGCAGCTTACTAAAAAACTCTGGTGTGACTACACTGTGTTGTGTGAGCAGCACTAAACACATACGCTACACAGGCCACGGGCAGACAAGGTCTCCACGGACTGACACATACCAAGAAGGCCTCGTGGGAAAGGAAGGAAGGGCGAGGAGCCTTAAATAAGATGTCTGACTGGCACAGGCCAAGGAGAAGCGGGGTGAGGTCTCCCCGAGAGGGAGGCACTGTCCACCAAGTCAACAGCAAGTCATTCACTCATCAGGCACTCATTGAGAGTCAGCTGTTCGCCAGCTACTGTTCCAGACATTCCTAGTCACCACCACCATCATCCTCACCCCCAAAAGTGTATGTCATGAGGACAAGCCATGGGAAAAGGCATTGTCAATGCTGGTGGGGACATAGACTCATTATCTACTCTAGGGGTCAATTCACCGCTCTACATTGTATTAGTCTTTAAATTGAGTATTCCTCTGGCCCAGCAACCTTATTTCCGGGACTTTATTCTAAGGCAGGGACGCTAGTGAAGACGTACTGACAGGGGATTAGCACCCCGTGAGTAACAGTAACTCGGGGCCCGCTGTGGTCCCCCCATGTTAGGAACATTGTTCCACGTGAACAGGATGTGTGGCAGCGCAGCTCACACAGGCAGACGCGCACGCTGCTAGTCACGTGAGGAAAGCCAGTCCCCAGGCGGTATTTACGGAATGAGAGGAATTAGGTTTTTAATTTTTATTTGCATAAAAATGTCTGAAAGGATTTACAATGAAATGTTCAGTTATGCCGGGTGGAGGTATTGCAAGTCATTTCCGGATTTTTCCCTGTTTTCTCTAATCACCTACATTATTTTTGCAATAAAAAACAACCAGGATGTGGAAAGCAGGGTGAGCAATGAGGGGCAGCTCGCATCTGACCTTGCTCTGTGCCAGGAACCAGCCCGCAGGTGAATCAGTGTGAGTCACCTGGGTGGTAGGGGAGCTGGGCAGAGACTGTGATCGTGCATCGGCCTGGCCGGGAGCTCACAGGGACCAAGCTCCATGAGGGAATGGCAAGGACAGTCCATGGTCCAGGGCAGGAGCGGGGGGTGGGGGAGAGGAGAGGGGTTGGAAGGATCTCGGGAAAGCTGCCCCTGGGCCAGTGGCACTTAGGAAGCGCGGTCTCCAGGGCCCAGGGCAAAGGCGCCCAATCCAGCCCACCTCTGAGCGTCTGGAACATCTTTGCCCACAGAACTTTCTGTTGTTGTTTGTTTCGCTCTTGTTTCCCATGTAACGACCATTGAGGCGCAGATGCAGCAAAACTAGGCCCCTGGCGATGAACGAGGTGTGGGCCTGGGGTAGGCACCCCAGGAGGCTGGGCTACCTCTCCCTGACCCCTAGCAGAGACCCCGACGAGGACCATTCTAGAAGGGCAGTCACTGCTTCCTAAGGTTTGTAACTTCCTCACCAGAAACCCGCCCAGAGGCTGAGGAGCTGCGAGGACCCTGGAGGAACCCAGAGCCGTGGGAACAGGAAACTCGAAGCAGAGCAGACAGGGTGAGGCCCAGCTGCTGGAGGGTTAGAACCACTTGGGTGGGTGGGGGGGGGGGGATGGGGCTGAGTCCCAGAAAGAGGACAGGGACCAAGGGAAAAGGAAGGCGCGAGGAGGCAGGGAGTGCAGAGGGGGAGAGGGCAGAGAGAACGAGGAGTCGAGGATGGGAGAGAAGAAGAGTGAGAGAGAGAGGGCTTTGGAAAAGGGGAGGAGGACCAGGACAGTGGGGGGGGGGGGAGAGAAGAGAATAAAGGGGCAGGAGGAGGAGAGGGGGCAGCTTTTCAACTCCAGGGCATCGCTATGGACTGCCTCGGGTTTGGAGCAAGTGCACACAGCTGTCCTGGGCACCCCGCCTGCTGAGCAGGTTCAGCGAGTGAGGCGAGGGCCGCTCTCCGGAATGCGGGGGCCTGGTGTCTGCTCTGACTGGCAGAGACGGATGCCGGCCCAGATGCTGTGACCCCAAACCAGAGCGCAGTCGTGCTTCCGAGCCAGCAGTCAGACCGGGTTCCCTCAGCCTCCGGTCGTCTGAGGCATGTTTCTGCTTTCCGTGCCAAAGTACATATTTATACCAAGATCATTTATTCTCCTGAATTAATTTGCTTACAAAGAAAAAGTGCTCAACATTTTAGATAATACATCATTCTGTGCCTGAGAACACTGCAATCAGCAAAGGGAAGGACAGAGCCGGGCTGCTCCAAGCCTGTGCCGTAAACTGTTCCCTTACCTATCCCTGCTCCTGCACTACCCCCTCCACGCTGGGTTCATCCCCGGAAAAGCTCTTCAGACATCGCTGATGCCAGGGACACGGTATTGCACGGATGCAATAAAATCCGATTCTCCTTCGTATGTGGGACAGCCCGCTTTATGGTGAGCAAACTCAAAGCAATCCAAGATGTCACTTCCGCACATAGCGGCAAGTCTGTTAAGATGGTGGCAGGTGTCTCACTGAGTAGAACATTTGTGATAAAACATGATAACCCGCCAACATGGCACTTGGTAGCTAAAACGTTCCAGAATGTGGCCACACCTCCCATCCGTCTCCAGGAGGGGGGGCTACGCTGTCCTCTGCCCTGTGTCCCATGTCCTCTGACCCCTACTTTCTCAGGAGCTTCCGCAGCCTGGGCCTCGGAGCAGGTGCTTTGGGAACAGGTCAGAGCCACCATCTCCCCGCCCCAAGGCCCCGAGGCCTGATCTGACCGCAGGACCTCCCACTGCGTGCCTCCCCGCTCACCCCTGACCTCCTGCCCCATGCCTGGCATCCACAGCCAAAGCAGCCACTCTGCCAGCCTGAGCGCAGGGGTCCCTCAGTCCCATTTTCCAAACGTGAAGGAGGCATGGCTGGGCAGCACAGGCGGGCTCTGCTCCTTCCTGCCCTGCTCCCTGTCTCCAGTACAGCTCAGCCAGCATCCCCAGAGAGATCGGCCTCACAGGGCCTGGCCCTGTGGCGAGGCCTGAGGGCTGGCTGTGCCCAGCGGAGCCCCTGGAGGTCCCGCCGGGCAGCGAGGACGGCGCACCCGTCTGCGCCTCCCCGAGGGCGCACGGCTCACCTCTCAGCTCCGTCTCCGAGGAGCTGTTGGACAGGACGGTCCACCTGCTCCTCTGCTGGGTGATCTCCTGCACTTTGCAGACGTAATGGCCTTGATCGGCCGGCCGGAGGCTCAGAAGGGAGAGCGTGTAGTTGTGGAGCCGGCCCTGCCGTTGCTCCCGCAGGCGCAGCCGCTGCTGGAAGGAGCTGTTGTGGAACCTGCCGTAGAACTTCACCGCCCCGTGCTTGCTCCTCCTCACCATCAGGGTCGCCTTGGCGCTGGGGCGCCCGAAGAACCAGCGCACGGCCAGCAGGCTGTTCGCCCACCTCTTCTGGGAGACGCGGCAGACCAGGGTGGCGTTCTCGCCCTCCCGGTAGTCCGCCACGGGCCCGGGGGACACGGTCACGTTAAGGGCCCCGCAGACGTCTGCAGAGAAACAGGAAGGAGGGCGTGAGCACGGCCTGGCCTCCGCAGGTGCCAGCGGCCTCCTCTCCCTCCGGAGCGGAAGCTGCAGGAGGGGGCTGCCCACCTCCTGCTCACTCGGCCCAGGAGGGGGGCCTCCTTTTGGGGGAGCTCTGTGGGAGCCCATGTATCTCCCATTTTATTTTCAATATTTCACATAAAGTTTGGATTTTTAGAATCTCTTAAAAATTCCCAGCCCGCCTCCCCAAGGCCTGCTGGGACCAGTTCGCTGCCCGCCTGAGTGGACGACGCTGCAGCAGGGGAAGTGGGGGCCTGCCCCTCCGGGCACCGTCCCGGTTCCAGCCGCTCCTGCTGTCCTCAGGCCGCCAGCAGCCTGCGGTGTTAGAATCTCACCCGCAGCTACAGCCCCGGCTTCTCTGTTCCCTGCTCTGAGCCCCTTGGACTCAGCTTGGAGCCAAAGTGTAGGAAAAAGACTGACCTAGGAAGAGGATGAGAGAAACTCCCAATCCCCTCAAAACACTCCTGACTCCAGGCCCTGCCTGCTCCTGGGTGTCTTTGGTTCCTTCTTAGAGCCCCAAGAGTGGCCATTCTGGGTAACACAGGGCGGCCACCGGCTGCCCTGAGCCCACGGGGCAGAAGCAGGAGGACACAGGAGGCCGCACCTCCGCTGCCTGCAGGGCTTCTTCTCACAGGAGCCACTCTGCCCGCACAGCCCAGCGCACAGCTCGGACGCCCCACTCCCTGCCCCCACCGCACGAGCAGGCCCTGCCCACCCACTGCATGGGCAGGCGCAGCGGGCATCCCACACAGTCACCTGCGGGCGGAGCCAGCAGGAGCTCTGGCCCTGTCAGTGCTGCAGGTGGGCCCTGAGGAAGGAGGAGGAGATCGGAGACCTGACTCACGCTGTGCAGGGGCTGTGAGCGGGGAGGAGGGGGGTGTAACCAGCCAATTAGTTCATCCTCTTGTGTGGTTTCTACTGTTGACTTAGCAAAACTGGACACCCTGAGCCATGACCTGAAGGTCAACATTCTTCGTTTTCTCTCTCCCCTCTTAGAAGCCAGGCCAGCGGACACTCTGACCCTTAGCGCAATCACACCGAGTGCCTGTGCCAGGTAAGTAACATGCACAGGCTTAGGGATCGGGACAAACATCTCAGAGTCACCATGAGCCTGCCACACTGCGACAGTCTCATCAAACTGATGGAAGCAAATTCAGAATTAAGAGGTTGACGCTGGCTGGCCGCTAAGTCGCTGTGGACGGCACTGAGGTCTCCTGTGTCCGCAGTGATGGACACGGCCACCCAGGGGCCTGCAGGCTCACATAAGCAGGGCCAGGGAGGCAGGCTCCTGGGACGACCTCTGACAATCTCTGTCCACACGGACAGTCACCGAGCAGGACGGGGGGCCTGCCCCACTGCCTCCCCTGCAGCTCACCCTGGCCTGCCCCTGCCCGTCGCCCATCTGAGCCGGCCCAGACACAGCTCTGCCGCAGAGGCCGTCTAAGGGGCGTGTGGTGGGTGTTCCCAGGGAGCACAGCACGGCCAGACCACATGGCTGACCCGTCCACTGGGACCAGTTCGCTGCCCGCCTGAGTGGACGACAGGGTCTCCCAGGCAGAGCCAGGGGCTGACCCATTCCATGGGGACGGGGTCTCTCAGGCAGAGAGCCAGGGGGCTAACCTGCTCCATGTGGTCGGGGTCTCCCAGGCAGAAAGCAGGGGGCTGACCCGCTGCAGGAGGACAGTCTCCCGGGCCGAGAGCAGGGGGCTGACCCGCTCCATGGGGACGGGGTCTCCCAGGCAGAGCTAGGGGCTGACCCATTCCATGGGGATGGGGTCTCCCAGGCAGAGAGCCAGGGGGCTGACCTGCTCCATGGGGACGGCGTCTCCCAGGCAGAGAGCCAGGGGGCTAATCTGCTCCATGGGGTCGGGGTCTCCCAGGCAGGGAGCAGGGGGCTGACCTGCTCCATGGGGACGGGGTCTCCCAGGCAGAGAGCCAGGGGGCTAACCTGCTCCATGGGGTCGGGTCTCCCGGAAAGGGAGCAGGGGGATGACCCGCTCCATGGGTTTGGGTCTCCCAGGCAGGGAGCAGGGGGCTGACCTGCTCCATGGGGACGGGGTCTCCCAGGCAGAGAGCCAGGGGGCTAACCTGCTCCATGGGGTCGGGTCTCCCGGAAAGGGAGCAGGGGGCTGACCCGCTCCATGGGGTCGGGTCTCCCGGGCAGGGAGCAGGGGGCTGACCCGCTCCATGGGGTTGGGGTCTCCCAGGCAGGGAGCAGGGGGATGACCCGCTCCATGGGGTCGGGTCTCCCAGGCAGGGAGCAGGGGGATGACCCGCTCCATGGGGTCGGGTCTCCCGGGCAGGGAGCAGGAGGATGACCCGCTCCATGGGGTCGGGTCTCCCGGGCAGGGAGCAGCAGGGGTGCAGCAGCTGGCTTCCAGAACTGAGTGCAGGCTCCCCACCCCCAGGCTGGCTCCACCAGAAGCCGGGAGAGCAGGAAAGCAGGAAATTGAAACAATATGGGTGGGATGAGAGCAAGCCTGGGCCCCCACACCCCAGCCTCCTCCTATTAACACTGCATGAAGGAGGGAGTATTCATAGTGACCAAAACCGGGAGAGGGTGCCAAGTGCTCGGTCCCCACTGGAGGCCAGATTCCATGCTGGAGGCAAACTAGTAACCCTTCCCCTCCCACGGCCCAGGCCAGGGCCAGCTCCCACAGGAGGCAACAGACACCCTCTTCCCAAGACGAGCCTCCTGTCCCCTCCCCAGTGCCTTGGCCTTCCTTCACCCCCGTTCCCTCACACAGGCTCCCCACAGCCCGCCCACTGAAGTGCAAAGGTCCCTCTTCGGAGCTGAATGGATCCCCCCAGATTCACATCCAGAGTCCCAGCTCCCAGGGCCTCAAGGGTGGCTGTCTGTGGAGACAGGGCCTTCAAAGGGAGGACTGAGTGAGAGGAGGCCGTTAGCGTGGACTCTAACCCCACGTGACTGGTGTCCTCACAGGAAGAGGCTGTCAGGACAGAGGACGCGGAGGGCAGACCACGTGGGGAGAGACCATGCACAGCCAGGGCAGGGCCTCTGCAGCACCTCGCCCGCGGCGCCCGGCCGCCAGGCCTGCAGATCCACAGGCAGCCGGTCATCAGGAGAAAGTCACAGGACGATGGAGCGACACAGAGAAAACAAGTTGGGCTCCCACAAAGCAGGGCAGGATCCTGACCTAGGTCACGGGGCAGGGAGGGGACCCGGGGAGGTGTTCGTGGCTGAAGGATGAGTTGTATTAAATGACATAAAATCCAGGGCAGCAGAAATGGCCTCCCCGGGAGAGGGCCCCACCTGCGCGAAGGCCCTGAGGCAGGAGGCACTGGCACAAGGGGACACGGAGCGATCAGCCCCTCGGGCTGCAGAGGGGTTTCAGGAAGGGACTTCCCAGGCGCTCAGGGCTCCCAGGCCAGCTCTTAGAGGGCAGTGTGGCAGAAAAGAGACTGGCCCAGTACAAGGGGCAGGACGCTGCTGCAGGAGCCTCTTTCCTTCGACAAGCACAGGCTCCGTTACTTGGGAGCCTGGGTGCCCCATGTGAGTGGGCATCGGGCTGCTCATGGGCCCAAGCCTCCATAGTGTCTTAGGGGGCTGGGCAATGCGCCAGGGGTTGGCATTCAACAAAGCCAAGTTGGAGACCTGGTTCTATTGGGAGTTAAGGCCCTCAGACCCTCAGTTTCTTCATCTGAAAAACGGGAAAGTAATTCCAATGGGAAAATAACTTTAAAACACCCACAGCAGTTTCTGTGCCTGGAGAAGTGAGCAGGTGGGACAATAAGAGTGACAGGCACACTGAGAGGGGAGGCTTCTGGGGTGCCCTGCAGTCACAGGCCCTCTGCTGGGGCGGGGGGGTGGGAGGGGGGCTGCTTGGTTTACTCTCTCCAGGCACTCTTTGGAAGGCTTAACAACTTTTGAGTAAGGCCCCACATTTTCATTTTGCCCTGGACCCCACAAATTAGATCTCTGGTTTTGACTGTAAGTAAGATATCCAGTTCCTGTGGGTAACACGGCGGAGGCTAAGCCTCTTGTTCCCACTGGATGATGTTTTCTAATGGCTCAGAAGACAGCCTGAGGACATCAGTGTGCTCACACAGTCCCCAACCTGTGCAGCCGGCACACACCTCTCCTCGCCAGGGGAGGAGGCCGCGGGCCTTGTGATGGAAAGAATAAGGCCCGGCCTTGCCTGGGAGGCAGGGCGGACACAGCCTGAGTCCTCTCCCCGGCCTGGCCAGGGTGTGCTGGTGGCTCTGTGCCCCCCCCTCCCGCTTCTTTTCTGTCCTGAGGAGCTTGCCCGACTCCTTCCCGGGAGCAGGAGCCCCTATGTCTCTAAGGAATGCAGATGGTGTGTACCTCTCAGCGGCCAAAATCTCATTCTTACTGAACAGTTAGTCTGTGTTCATAACAAACAAATCTCTACAGATGCAACTGTATCCCTTAAAAGCCCCGGCACCAGGAGCCAGCGCCCGCCAGCCCAGCACCAGACACCCGGGCAGCCAGGCCAAGCACCCGCGTGACCAGGATGCAGGCTAACATTTTCTCGTGTGAAGCCCATGCCCAGCATTGTTCTAAGCACGTTAGATGTATTTTCCCAATCTATCCTCATGCTATGCTTATCCCCCAGTTACAGACAGGAGGGCTGAGGCCCAGAGAGGCTATGCCGCTTGCTGAAGCTCACACAGAAGGTGGGAGAGCTGGAACCCCGACCAGACGGCTCCAGAGCCAGCTCCCAGCCACCCTTGTCCTACAGCGTGGTATCTCCTAAATATGCCCCTTGGTTAGTTTTGTGTAAAACCGCTAAGGTCTGCTCTGTCCCAAAATACAGAGATGTTCCAGGGTAAAGTACATGTAAAGCGGCTCCTCGGGCTTGGTGACAAGGAGTCCTGGTGAAATACAAGGAAGAGTGGCAGCACAGGACGAAGGCCGCACAAACAGGCACTGTCGCCATGGCCTGAGGGATGGCCTTCTCTCAGGCCGCGGGCTCTAAAGAACCCTGAGTCCAGCGAGGCCTCCTGGAGCATGAGATGTCCCCCACCTCAAGGGGCCTTCTCTGGGGCCTCCGTCTGGCAGCACCTGAGGTTAGGAAGGTGGTCATGGAGCCCTGGGGACAGACAGCCCTGTGCCCTCTTGCCTCCCGCTGGCTGCTGGGCACTCCAGAGGCCACCTGAGCTGGCCCAGCCCCACCACCCAGTGAAGCTGCAGCCTCTGTCAGCCAAGACAGTGACAGCCCTGAAGGAGCATCTCCCACACTGTGGGTTTCGGGTTCAGTGGGAGCCCCATGGCTCTGGTAGCCTGAGTGCAAAGGTGAGTTTCTTCCCACCACCATGACCCCAGAAGCTCCCAGATTCTGATGGGTGCTAGTTCAAAGGCCCGCTCCCCACTTGGTAGCTGGGTCTCCCTTGGAAAATCCTTAACTTTGAGCATCAGCCTTCTTATTTACAAAACTAGTGGCCCAGTGCACAAATTTGTGCACATTGAAAGGAAATTAATTAGAAGAAATATTTTAATATCACTATTCGCCCTTTCTCTGTAATAGAAGTGTCAACCAAATTCACGATTGACAATGACAGATCGAAACACATGCATGTGTTTGGTGCCAGTGAGAGCTTTATATGTATAATATTACGCATACACAAGTCAACTTAGCCTTTTATAGATATAGAATAAACTTGCTTAATTAGACCTGCTTTATGATTTAGCTAAACTTTTCCCAGCCCAGTGAAGCACTCCAATTTCTCTTTCAGGTAATTGTCAGCAACACAGCAGTAAATATCAACATGAAGCAGATTATTATTGTAGATCATGCAGGGAGAACAAAGGGTAAAATATTTAACTGCAGCAGTGTTTGACTATATCCTGCGCAGTGAGAAAACCTGAAGTCATTTTCAAGGTCCACCATTTCTTACTTCTTTTCAGTCAGGTCAAGTTTCTAAGCTTTCTAAATCCCCATTTTCTGGCTAATGAGAAGAAAATAGAATTCTACCGAGTCTCCTATCTACCTACTCCAGGACTCCTGTGAGGATCAAATGAGATGATATACAGGAAAACACTTACAGACATTTGGTTAAAGTGTAAAATGTTTTCACTTGGCTATAAAGCAAGCCATGTTCCTGGGCTGCAGAAACTCCAAGGAGGCTAGTCACTAGGGAGAGGAAGCCAGGTGTTGCTATGTGATGTCATTACCCAGGCGCCATTTCTGGGCTGGGCTGGGCTGGGCTGTGGGCCACATTTTGTGCCATGGGGTCTCAGCAGCGTCAGCTGTGATTTGATGGACTGTCACTCCGGGGTGGAGGCGGGGCCTGTGTTCCACTTGGGGGAAGCCAAGTGTTGCTTTGTGGGCGCCAGGTCTGCAGTGCCATTTCTCTGTAAAATGGCTAGTGCCCATCACGGCAGCTGGGGGTCAGTGCATGTCATAGTGACCAGTCGGATGGTCGGACACTTAGCATATTAGCCATAGATAGATAGATAGATAGATAGATAGATAGATAGATAGATAGAGGCCACTCAGCTTAGCCAATATGAGCAGGGTCTAGAGCCAGCCTTCCTAGGAGCAAACGCCAGCCCCACCACTCACAAGCCTGTGGCTTAAATCAAGTCAATGCATGGGCCTGTGCCTCAGTTTCCTCTCCTGCAGATTGGGAACAGTGACAGCACCTCCCTAAGAGGTTATTGGCAAGTGAGACCGGGTAATGTCTGAGCGTGGGATGTAAGCATGCTCCTGTCCCTGTTACTGTGAAGTGCTGTGAGACTGAGGGCTGTGCAGCCACACTTGGCACCAGATAGGCCCCAGGAGGCCTGACTGGCAGGCGGTACCCGTACTGCTGTCACCACTGTCCTAGGCAGCACAGCCCTTCCAGCCCAGGCAGGCAGGGCCCTGAGGAACGGAGAAACTTCCTCAGCAACTCCGAAGTGAGGGCAGAAACCGCAGAACGCACGCCAGCAGTGTGGGCAGAGGCTGCCCCTGGGCAGGGTGCCTGGTACAGGGGCCCCTTCAGCCAGCAAGGGCACTTTCCCCCCAGGCCTGGTCATGGCAAACCACCCCAGGACAAGTCCCAGCCCCATTCCCAGCAGGACACTCAGCTCCTCCGGCCTGGGGCCGCTGGGAAGAGCGTTCAGAAGTTCTGCCCAGTCTAACCCACAAAAGTTGTGAGTCCTGAGTTTTTGGGGAAAAAGAAAACAAACAAACCAGGGCTCTCGCCTCCTGGCTGAACTCTCCCCGCCCCCCAGATCTGGTCCCTTCGGGCTGCTCCGAGCCTCCCAGCGAGCTGGGGTCCGGCCTGCGGGGAGGGGTGGGGCGCCCTAGCAAGTCCGCCGCCAGCGCCTTGGACAGGGAGGCCGGAGGCGCAGCGCCTCCTCCCAGGCCCGAGCCGAGCCCAGAGCCCCGCCGCCCCAACGCGGGTCCCCAACCGCCCGCCGCCCCGCGCTTACCCGGGGCCGGAGCCCGCGCCAGCAAGGCGGCCGCCGCCAGCGCCAGCAGCCGCATCGCCCCGCCGCCGCCGCGCAGTGCCGCCGGCCGCCTCCCGCTCCCCGCCCCGCGCCCGCCCCCCGCCCGGCGGCCCGGCCCGCCCCCAGGCCCGCCCGGCTCGGCCCCGCCCATGGGCGCCGCCTGCTTGGCGGCTCTGGGTGTCTGGGCCCCCTGCGCAAGGAGGATCTTGAGCTCATGACCAGTGCATGTCTCATTTTTGCCACCCCATTTCACAGATGAGAAAACTGAGGCTCTGAGAGCTGATGCTGAACACAGGAAGTTCGTAGCTGTATGCTAGCATCACAGACACCTCTCTGGTTAAGGGAGGGCGTCTTGGAGCCTGCATGGGAGGGGAGAGATGGTGGGGGGGAATGCCAAATATGTGAGGCTAGCCAGCTGCCCAGTGGACCGGCCATTGCTCCAGAGGCATCTGCACGCCAAGGGGCTGCTGGGGGAGAAGCCCTCTGCTGTCCTGAACGGGGTGTGGGTGTCAGAGGCGGGGACTGTTGCAAAATGAGAGGTCCATACGGACAAGCTCAGAGGGTGGACACTATCAGAAATAATGGCCACTTAGGGTGCCTTCAGCCATAGCCTGGGCCAGGTACTGGCACCGTGCCACTGAATGCTGACACTGAGACCTGGCACAGCTCTTTAATCTCCGTATGCCTCAGTCTCCCCCATCTGTACCTGGGGAAATGGACATGTTTCTCACAGGTTGTTAAGATCAAGTGAGGCAGTTCCAGTGAAGGTCATGAATGCCAGCCACCCTTAGCATCATTGCCACAGACAGGGAGCGGAGGCAGGTGAGGAGCTGACCCAGTCACACAGCCAGGTCCCTCTGAGCCCACGCCTGGCTCTTTCCCACGGCTCTGAGCTCGGGGTCTGAGCCCAGCCCACGTGTCAGCCCGGATCTCAGGAGCAAGAACGGCGCACACCAGGTTTGCTTCCTGTGAGTCTACAGGGGCATCTTCGAGGGGTCCCAGAAATGGTGGGCCCTGCTTGGGACTGTCCTTACCTTGCTTTTCTCTGCCGCACTCGTGCTGTGCTGGAGAGTTGAGGCTAGATGGTGTTCTGTGTTCTGTTTGCAGCTGGGTTCCCCCTCAGAACCCTTCAGCTTCCCAGACCATCTACCCGACCCTGACCCGGGAGCAGAGACACGCAGACCCCGGGCAGACCGGCAGGGACGCAGAGGCAACCCAGTTCTCAGTCGCTGGACTACAATAGCAGAGACCTTTGCCCTGCTCTCACTCACAAGCTTAGGGCAATGGGAAAGCCCTGCACTCACTTCATGCCCAGCCCTGGCTTTGTCAGGTCTGCCTCCTTCTGAATCAGAGCAATCCAATCCAATTGCACACATGTAAGTGCTTCTTCTAACGCGCCCCCTGCTGGAGGAGCAGCAGACTCCTGCAGCTGATCCGGGCCCCTACGGACACTCTCCTTACTCAGTCTGGATTCCTCAGGGAGGACAAGCCCGTCCAACCTGGACAGCCGGGAGCCACAGGTGGCCGGCGGAGCTGTCCTGAAACCTGGACAGCCTTGGTGCACACCCGGGGGAGGGGGTGGAGCCCCTGGCTTTTCCCTTAAAGGCCCGGAACTGTGACGCCGTGAGCCTGACCATATGTTTACGTAGAAAGGGCTTCTCCAAAGCAACCTCACGAGAGACTCTAATAAATTGGGGGCATTCCAAGAAATTAGCAGTGATTGTGGGCTCTGCTGGCTGGCTGAACACAGAGGAAGATGGCCTCCAGAGTCTGGACGTCTCCAGAGAGAAGGGGCTGAAATGAGGGAGGTTATCTACATCACTGACCACAGCGCAGGCCAGGCCACTTCCTCTCCTGGTGCTGGGAGCTTTACAGTGAGGATGGACCTGGAACAAAACTGAGCAGGAACAAAAAACGCCAGGATCAGCCGCTTGGCCAATGGCCCTGCCCTGGTGTCGACCCATCAGTGGAGACCAGGACCCGTAAAGGCACACCTGGAAGAGCTGATGAATATTCTAGTGCAATCCTCCTGAAGACCTCCTTTCTGCTCCCAGCCTTTAAACCTCAACACAAAGCCCAGCACACTGTTTCCCTCCTGGGAGGATGCTCGTGCCTTCCCTTCCGCTCTCTTCCCCCACAGGAGTGCATCTCCTAACCTCAGGGTCCCACAAGGCTTGCAACCAGGCGAGCAATGGCAGCTCATCCTGGGTTTGCCCCCTGAGCCCGTCCCCAAGGCCCCCTTTGCTCTGACTCTCCAGGGAGCAGACAGCAGCCCCGCCCGCCCGCCTTGGGTCACTTCTTTCTCATAAAGTTTCTAGAAAGCCAAAGCAGTCTCCTTCCTGTGGCTTCTTCTACCCCAGTCCTTCCTCTGTTTTCCTCTCCCAGCTTTAATGGGCGAACTCTCAGCCACCTGGACTTGTGTTGTGAAATCTTTCCTGCATGAAGTCAGGAGCCCACACACTGCAGACTTTCCCAAGGTGCACCTGCTCCGGGCCTGGGCCCCTCCAGTAAATACAGGGGTGAAGGGACAAATGGGAACAAAGTCATAGAGGCCCTCTGATGCGGGCAAGGAGTGTGCACTGCATCCCAGTGATAGTGGGGGCCCTGACAAGGGGGAGGGGGACAGGAAGTGTAGTGAGAAGCCTGGCTGGGTGCTCAGTGGTTAGAGCGTTGTCCTGATACGCTAGGGTTAGCTTGCCAATGAGGACACGTTTAAGAATAACCAATAAATTTATAAATCAGTGGAACAACAAATTGATCTCTCTCTCTCTCTCTCTCTCTCTCTCTCTCTCTCTCTCTCTCTCTCTCTTTCTCTCTCTCTCCCTTCCTCTCTCTCTCTAAAGTCAACTTTTTTAAAGAGTGTGTGCGAGTTCAGAGCCAGTCACCTAAGACGTGCCTCAGTGCAGGAGGATTTGAGCTAAGGGCAGCCTTAGCTGCAGGCTCAGGAGAAATCACTGCTCTTCCAAGACGACCTGGAAAATGTGGATCAGGAGCCTCGCCCAAGGTGGGAGGCTATCAGAAACAATCTCTTTGACCTGTTTTTAGAGCTGGAAATTTCCTATTTACTAAGCATCTTCTTATCGCTCTGCAGTGACTCCGAGAAGCCCTGAAGGCACGTATCTCACTCCCTGCTCAGATAGTGAAGGGACTGGGAGGGATAGTGGCCGCAGGAGTCTAATCTGCCCAAGGCTGCTGACAGAGGAGCTAAGAGAAATGTTGAACTTTAAAGTCTGCGAAGGGAGAGCCAGAGACACACCTGGCTCCTCCCCTCACCCCCGTGGAGAAGCACAGAGGCCACTGCCCAGGCCAGTGCCCACGATGGGAGAAGGGTGAGTGCTGAGCCTAGAAAGCCCGTTCCGTCTCCGTGCCCAGCTCCGGGAGGGCTGTCAGTGAATATCCCAGGGTGCCTCAGTGAAGTGTCAAATGGAGAGAGAAGGGAAGATGTATGGATTTGCTGGGTGTTTAGGAACAGAATGTTTCTCTCCGTTCTGGAGGCCGGACGTCTGAGATGAAGGGGTCGGGTCCACAGGGCTTCTTCTGGGCCTCATTCCCTGGCTAACGGGTGGCTGTTTTCTCTCTGGTCCTCACATGGTCTTCCCTGTGTGGGGGCCTGTGTCCTGACTTCCAGTGAGCACACTGGTCATGTTTAATGAGGACACCCCGCCCCCCAATAGTCACTTTCTGAGGTTCTGGGTCTAGGACTTCAACATATGGATTGGGGGGGGGGGGGGGATTCTGTCTATGAAGGGGGAAGGGGGAAGGGGGGAGGGAGAGGAGGACAGAGGAAGCAGGCATTGAGAGTTCAGGTGAAGGGGCTAACAAATGGAGATGTGGATGCAGAGCCAGGAGACGACCATCCCCTGGAGGCCGAATCCCCAAGGCCACCCATCAGAGAAAGGGGCCAGGAAAGGGCCAAGATGGCTGACTAGGCGGAAGTTGCAATCACCATCCCCATGACCACAGCAAAGTCACCACTGAATTGTAGACAATCGAACTGGACAGCCAGATGAAGACTAGCTAACAGGAATCATAGGAAGAAGCCAGGTGAGGCCTGGAGGAGAGAGGAGATGTGAGTGCTGCCCCACATGTGGCAACTGAGAACCCAAGGAACATCTCAGCTGCAAAGGTGCCCAAGACAGAGGGTTCTCAGTCCCCGGCTGGGCTCCCTAGCCCAGAACCAGAGCCAGGAAGGGGGGTCCACATAACATCTGACTGGAAATCACTAGGGATCCCATCCTCCAGGGTGAGGTGGAAGGCTGCTGGAAACCCAGGTATCCTCTTAAAGGGCCAGTGCACCAATCCCCACTCATAGGTACTCATCTGGGACACAGAGGAGGGATGGCAGCTCAGAGGATGCCTGAGTTCACAGGGAGAGACTGGGATGTGTGGCTTTAGGGAAAGGGCTGGCTGGAGAGTGCCCAATGTGTTTAGTCCTCCAATGCCCATGTGTTGAGTCCTCCTACAACATGGCCCCCGAGCACCATCCCCTCCCCATGTGGCATTAGCCTGGTGAGCAACACTAGCTCCATCCACAAGGCACACAAGGCCGGGACTCTGTCAGCAACAGTCAGCCCGGGCCCACATTCCAGTTGAGAAATTAGGGGCAAGTGGGGAGGAGGTGTACCAAAAACACACACACACAAACTGAGTTGTGTGTCTTCAAGGTGAGCATCACCTTCCCGCACAGCCCACCTTTTCTGTGGTAAGCCCTCCTCTACACTATCAAATCTTAATCTTTTTTATCTCAGTGAACTCTACTAGCTTCACCCCAGTGACTTCCTGAGACCCCACCCACTGCAAAGGTCTCAGATGGGTGGCAGCTGGCCTCCATGTGCTCTGAGAACTTCGCTGAATAGCCTCAGACCCAGCATGAGATTGAGATTGTGTCAGTCTGGTGAACTCCACTCACCCCTACCCGCCTCACACAACTGGAATACCACCAGGGCTCTTAAGCTGGCAGAGCCCAATAGACAGGTCTGTGGTGCCTTGGGCCTTTTGCTGACCTGCCCCAGGTCAAGTACTACGGCAACCAGACCT